GATTCCCAAAATTTCCGAGATATCCTTAATTTTCAAGATTTTGCAAGGTTTTCAAGATTGTCAAGATTTTCATAATTTCCGAAATTTTCAAGATTTACAAGATTTTCAACATTTTCAACATTTTCAACATTTCCAATAACTTTAGATTTCCAAGAGTTCCAAGATTTTCGAGATTTCCAAGATTTACAAGATTTTCCAAGATTTCCAAGAATTACAACATTTCCAAGATTTCCTAGATTTTAAAGATTTCCAGGATTTCCAAGATATCCAAGATTTCCAAGTTTCCAAGATTTTCACGATTTTCAGGATCTCCAGGATTTTCAAGATTCTCAGGATTTTCAAGTTTTTCGAAATTTTAAAGATTCTCAAAATTTCCGAGATTTCCGAAATTTTCAAGATTTTGCAAGGTTTTCAAGATTGTCAAGATTTTCAGGATTTCCGAAATTTTCAAGATTTTCAACATTTTCAACATTTCCAGTAACTTTAGATTTCCAAGATTTCCAAGATTTTCCAAGATTTCCAACATTTTCCAATATTTTCCAAGATTTTCAAGATTTTCAAGATTTTTCAACATTTTCAAGATTCACGAGTCGAAAAGTTTTTTATAAACTAGAAAAGTATTAAGATTCATTACTTCCTCGAATTTTAAGATATAGAATGAGACTTTTCTAAGATTTGTCAGAGACATCAGTCAGTTAAATCTGACCAGTTCCTAATTATATCTATCCCAAAAGCATTGTGGGTGTTGTGTGCATCAGAGAATGCAGCAAATATTCTCATAATTGTCTCGTAAAACAGTTTATCGCCCTGTATATAAACAAGAGTGATATACTCGCGAATAGCAAGTGTGCGCTTTCAAAATGTGAAATGTCTCCAACATTCAACATAGCATAATTAATAGCGAATGAGCGACACGACACAAACAGCTTTTGGCGTTTCAATGCAAAACAAATAAATTTCAAAATAAGTACTTCCTAGTTGCTGTTCGCTATTTATTTATGCCTGCATTGTTTTCCATGCAGCGTCTGTTAGCCGTTCAGCTGGCCATCCACTCCTTCATTTGGCTTTGGAAACTTCCATAGTGAACATTACTAAAAACAAATCGACTTTTTGCACTTTCCAACATCTAATTTTAGGACAGGTTTACACTTTGGATAATACTTGTATGGTCTTCAGGATATTCCGACTAACAGACGACACTTCCTCTCCCGATTCAATAAATGCACTGTACCTCTGAGTTTCTTTGTACACCGAAAACCGTTTTGTTTCTAGATTATCAGATATGTAGAGTATCTGTTTTGAGGATAGCTTCGATAGTGTATGGTAAGCTTAACTGTCTATCGTATAACTAACTTCTAGACTCTAGAATCTCGTGTAGGAGGAATTCACAATGCTTTTTGTAGAAGGCGAATATGTTAGTTTGTCTTTGAATATTTAATGTTCGCATTAACATATATTTTATCAACAGGTTTATCCAAAGATGTTTTGTTTGTAAAGCCAAAGTTTCATGGCTTCTTATAGTGTTTGTTATGTTGCTAAAAATTGAGAAATAAGGCACATGTGTCTCAAACCATCATAGCCTACCGAGTTTTGTTCTGAAAATGTAAAATTTAGTTAAGGGGACATTTTTTGAAAAGTGGATTTCTAAAGATCCTTTATTGGCTAAATCGGATGATTCCAATTTTGTACTGACACTATAATTTTGCTGGTTAAGGTCTATAATAACTTTCCCCTACCAGCAAAGACATAATATAATTACAACGAACAATATATTTCACTATAAAATATTCAGCAACTTTCATATCTAGCACTTGTATCAATCATCCACAACTCACAGAGGGACCCAAAAGCCTCGACGATCTTTTTCACGAACCGATCGTTGGTAATGGCAAAGGTGAACGTACTTTGTCAGATTGTATCTTCGACGAATTGGTAGTTGCTGTATATTACGGTGTATATGTTTTCCATAATAATAGCTGGCGTTTACTGTCAAATAAATTAATATCGATATACGCGTGAAAACGTAATGGTTGTTTCGTGTTTGGATCGCGCGTTTTCATTATCGCTCGAGTTCGGAGTGACTTGTTAGGGTGTGTCTGTCATTCCATCGGCAGCGATGAGTTTATGGATTATACAGGATGTCCTGGAAAATTGGATTTCGCAGTGGGTGCTTTCCTACTTTGCTAAAACAATCCGATGAGAGATTTTTTTGGAAACAAACATGTCAAATTATCGTACAATTTCTCTATTATCGATCGTAGCAAAAATTGCAGTAATCAAAATTAGGATCAACAAATATCTAGATAAAACAAGATATTAGCCAATTAGCAATTTAGGGAGAAGATCTCAGCACAAGATGCCATAAAAGTCAACATTTTCAACATTTTCAACATTTCCAACATTTTCAATACCTTCAACATCTTCAACATTTTCAACATTTTCGACGTTTCCAATGTTTTCAACATTTTCGATGTTTCCAATGTTTTCAACGTTTCCAACGTCTACAACGTTTTCAGTTTCCAATATTTTTAACGTCTTCAACATTTTCAACATTTGCGACATTCTCAACATTTTCACGTTTTTTAACATTTTCAACATTTTCAACATTTTAAACATTTTCAACATGTTCAACATTTTCAACATTTACATCTTCAACATTTTCAACATTTTCATCATTTTCAACATTTTCGACCTTTTGAACATTTTCGACATTTTCAACATTTCCAACATTTTCAACACCTTCAACATCTTCAACATTTTCGACGTTTCCAATGTTTTCAACATTTCAACATTTTCGACGTTTCCAATGTTTTCAACGTTTCCAACGTCTACAGCGTTTTCAGTTTCCAACATTTTCAACATTTTCAACATTTTAAACATTTTCAACATGTTCAACATTTTCAACATTTTCAACATTTACATCTTCAACATTTTCATCATTTTCAACATTTTCGACCTTTTGAACATTTTCGACATTTTCAACATTTACGTCATTTTCAACATTTCCAACATTTTCAACACCTTCAACATCTTCAACATTTTCGACGTTTCCAATGTTTTCAACATTTTCGACGTTTCCAATGTTTTCAACGTTTCCAATGTCTACAACGTTTTCAGTTTCCAATATTTTAAACGTTTTCAACATTTTCAACATTTGCGACATTCTCAACAGTTTCACGTTTTTGAACATTTCCACCATTTTCAACATTTTGAACATTTCCACCATTTTCAACATTTTCGACAATTCGACATTTTCAAAATTTCCAACATTTTCAACATTTTCAACATTTTCAACATTTTCAACATTTTCGACATTTTCAACATTTTCAACATTTTCAACATTTTCGACATTTTCAAGATTTTCGTCATTTTCAAAATTTCCAACATTTTCAACACCTTCAGCATCTTCAACATTTTCGACGTTTCCAATGTTTTCAACATTTTCAACATTTTCGACGTTTCCAATGTTTTCAACGTTTCCAATGTCTACAACGTTTTCAGTTTCCAATATTTTAAACGTTTTCAACATTTGCGACATTCTCAACAGTTTCACGTTTTTGAACATTTCCACCATTTTCAACATTTTCAACATTTTGAACATTTCCACCATTTTCAACATTTTCGACAATTCGACATTTTCAAAATTTCCAACATTTTCAACATTTTCAACATTTTCGACATTTTCAACATTTTCGACATTTTCAAGATTTTCGTCATTTTCAAAATTTCCAACATTTTCTACACCTTCAGCATCTTCAACATTTTCGACGTTTCCAATGTTTTCAACATTTTCGACGTTTCCAATGTTTTCAACGTTTCCAATGTCTACAACGTTTTCAGTTTCCAATATTTTAAACGTTTTCAACATTTTCAACATTTGCGACATTCTCAACAGTTTCACGTTTTTGAACATTTCCACCATTTTCAACATTTTCAACATTTTGAACATTTCCACCATTTTCAACATTTTCGACAATTCGACATTTTCAAAATTTCCAACATTTCCAACATCTTCATCTTTAACATATTCAACAATTTCAACATTTTCATCATTTTTAACATATTCGACGTTATCGTCATTTTCGACGTTTCCACTGTTTCCAACGTCTTCAACGTTTTCAAAGTTTCTAATATTTTTAACGTTTTCAACATTTGCGACATTCTCAACATTTTCAACATTTTATTATTATTACATCTTTAGGTCGTGTAAGGCATAAAAAGTTGATGTATAGCCACACATGGTTCATGCACAAAGAAATCCGTTTCTAAGGGATCGTTTGCATTACATTGAATAAATCGTATTATTATAGATTATTTTAAATAAAAAAGAAACAGTGATTAATTTCCTGATATCCCCTCCGAACGCTATGCGTCGGCGTATGAAACGACATGAAAGAACTCGCGGCCAGAGAAATTTCATAATGGATATTTTGCTTTAGCGATTGCCTATTTTCAGGACAAAGCCAGCGCTGCCTGACGAACGCAAAGTAATTAAAAAACTGGTAGATTTATATCGATACTTTATGTTTTTTCACATCAACAAGTTAACAGCGTTCTGGCACGCAAACGCATCGCGAATGGTGTACTAGGCTCCGAAATAGAAAAAACAGCGGTGGAGAAATGGATATTTTTTCTACGGGAACAGTGACTTAGTTGTTCGCAAGTCTTAGGATTGACAACTGCAATCGGATGTCAATCTTATTGTTGCCCCGTGGACTCTACCTACCGGTATCGGTAGACTGTTCTTAGCTAATTTTTTTTCAGAGGGTTTAATCCTTCATGAACTGTTGACGACGCTTACCTAGGACATGCAGATTCAATCTACTTAACGCCATTTTTCTTATACGAAATCAACCTCCCAGATCACCACGGTAGTAACTAATAGGAGACAAACTCAAATCACATATCCATCTAGCTTTAATTACGTTTATCGAGCCCGCTCTCAAAAACCGAATAAATCAGAGCTCTCCATTAAAATTCTAACCTTTTAATCTACGCATATGTTTCTTCTACGAATCTTATCTACCTGCAAATATCTCCAGCACGCACGGAAGTACAGGCGAGCCGTTGTTATTTATATCGCTTACAGATTTATACGAAAAACGTTGTTTCGTTGTATTCAACCACGTAAGTTACTGCCCCCCGAACAGTGGAAAAAAGGGTCACACGACTCGTAAATTCCGACAAAATCGCGTCCCTCCGGAGCTGTTTTTTCGGTACGGCATACATGAAACTGCTTTTTTGAAGGAGCCACGTGAGGGCCAAAGGTAAGCCACATTTCTCGTCGTCGTCGCATGAACAGTACGGTACTGATGATGCCTAATTAGGATGAGACGATGACCTGAAAGTTGGGACTTTCTTTTATGGAAACAACTACGTTTGAAATAGATTCTGCAAATCGCTTCGGTATTAAAAAGAATTCGAGATACCTAGTAACCATTTCGACCTATGAAAGCGAGCGAAAGTCACCTTGTACCAACTCATACAAAAACAATCTGTTTAAATAAACATTTTCCTCATTGTTTAGACAAAGTGTAATGCAACATGTGCAACGACCTGTATTTGACATTATAAATTATATTCCTAAAGCTAGAAATAAGATTATTTCCATACCTCTGCTCTGTTCTGTTTGCATTATTTAAGGATTTGTTTATATGACGGCTAAAAATACTACTTTTATTGCTCGGATGCATATGCGGGATATTATGGAAACTGGAAACGTTCGTGTATGTAAACGATCCCGGTTTCTAATAGCACATCATATTTTTAAGTACCAAAATTAACCTGCACACCTGCATTAACAATGTATAGTAACAGTGCCTTGTTAAATTCACGTATGTACAGGGTAGACCACAAAGAATGAGAGGTACTGTATCTGAGAATCTATCCGAATAACCAGTAGTTCAGATGTCCAGCAGTTCAAATGTGCTAGTGCTTCAAATATACCAGTAGTTAAAATGACCAGTAGCTCTGTGTCCAGTAGTTCAAATGACCAGTAGTTGAAATGACCAGTAGTTCAAATATACAGTAGTGCAAATGATCAGTAGTAGAAATGACCAGTAGTTCAAATGTCCAGTAGGTCAAATAACCAGTTGTTCGAATGAACACTATTTCGAACGACCGGTAGTTCAAATGTCCAGTAGTTGAAATGACGAATAGTTCAAACGTCCAGTAGTTCAAATGACCAGTAGTTCGAATGAACAGTATTTCGAATGACCAGTAGTTCAAATGTACCAGAAATTTCGTTAGGTTTGTCCCACTTGTTTCGTTGAGTTTGTCCGACTTTTTGCGTTAGGTTAATTGGCCACCCCGTACAATATTTTTTCTGAATGATAAATATTTGGTGTTGATCCAGAATGCAATTCCAGTCCAAACTCTTCTGGGATTAAAATCATATTGATTAAGATTTGACGTTTAACGTGTGTTTCAGTCTTAGAAGCAAGATACTCTTACCTCCAGCAGTGCATAAGAAAGATCATGGTAGTTACTCAGAACAACAATATTCATAATAAGGAAACAATATGCAATACTACAAGTTACATCAAAAACTGGTTGGTAAATTAAGAAGAAGTATTTTGTCGAGAAGTAAATACGTGTTTATATAAATTAAACTATTCAAAAATAGGAAAAGCAGGATAACAAACAAAGAAAAAAGTACAATATATTTGTCGTGGAATTGATGCTGTTTGAAAGCTACATCACTCCTCTAACTCTCGACCTTTATGACCTCTATCAGATCAAGCACTTACTATTACACGTTCAGTTACCAATTTCAAATAACAAAACTTTAATTAACACATTTTGCTTCAGAACTATACCTAATTGTATGTGTTTTTTCTGGATATCGTCACGCCATATTTTCGACTGTATTGTGTGCACAGTATACAGTTTGCAAAAAGTAAAATCACTCCCTTAAAAAGTTGTTGTGGTTATAATTTTTATAGAGGCTTACTCGCAAATATCTAGGAACATTGTTCAGAACAGTGTTCAGAACTCCTCAAAAGTGGATATAAAATTTTAAATATAAAGAAAACTTAAATAATCTATAAAAAATTGAACCTTAAAGAACACAAAATTTCGAGACGGCGTAGTAACAATTTTTTAGTTTTATTTTGAAAAAGCTCTATGTCTGCTGGTAAACTGTTAGACAATTTTGACCTAGAGAGACTTCCTGGATACAATGTAAAGGTACATACACTTGGTTACATTGTGTCAGGCAAACCAAGTTTTCTATATTTTTTAAATAGTTCTCTACAACTATTTGTGTGTACTTTTTTCGAACCATGTAAAAAGATAAAGTTGATGATCTTTCGTCAAAAACGAAACGAAAACGTAAAAACACCGTCATGTAGTGCCCAAAAAGTTCCCGTATTTTTTTATATCTCCTAAATAAGGTGAGAAAAGAATAAAAACGATTTGCACAAATGTTTGTTTTCCCAAATACATCAGTAAGCCACGAAGTTTCTCAACGGCTTGTAAGTAGAAAAGTGATCGTAGATTTTTATAAATGTATGAATGTGAAATAATCGATTTTAGGTAGATCGATGAGTGACCTTACTCTTATATTCTGTATACCTTGTGTGTGTACCGCACAAATTTGATTATGCTTTGTTTAATATTTTCACACCACGGTGCAATACTGGCTTAATTTATTCGGTAAATACGTTGAGATAACGTGCGTTGTCGTACTCGTTTTTATAACGCGAGCATCTGTTACGGAAAATTTCATAATCGCCGATCTTTATTAACCATCAGGTTCTTTTATTACACAAGCAAATGTACGTTGATCCTCCTCATAAATAACAAACGGTGCGATGTCAGGTTCAAAATAACCGGATTTTTTTTTAAATTAAAGCATTTCTCAAGAGAAATTCATTTATAGTCAAATCGTGCGCCATATTTTCCGGCGTGGAATGACAATAGCAAAATGTATATAAGCTGATCATCTATTTTTTTTTTAGGCTCAGCATGCTACGTTATGCGAGAGTGTGTTTCAACATATTACATAATTGTTGTCAGCAGCATATCGAGTATCTTTCCAAGGCCAAGGTCGATGATTAAAAAATCTACACTCGTCGTGGTAAACCGTGTTAAATTTCGTGTGAATCAGCTTTTTGTTTACATATACCCATTATTTGTTAATTATCACGAAAAGCTTGTAATTGTCCAGCACAATATTATAATGAGTTTAGACGTGAATTTGCTTGGTATTAAAATCTGCTTGTAACTAGTATAGCTTGTATATATAAAGGTATAGAAGAATATGAATCATAGCTCTTCAAAAGTATTTGAATGGAAACGAGGAAACGAAATCAAGTCTGTTCAAATCGTCAAATTTTTTCAAGAGTGTGACTGAAGGTACATCGAGAAATGGGTTTCGATAATACAATATTTTTATAATCTTTTATTCAACCTAACCTATCAGAGTGGAACAAATCTTCAAAATGAACTTTGGGGCAGTTAGCCGTTTATCAATTGAGTTGAAATTTTGTGCATACTTTTGTTGAACGTCACAATACAAAATAAATATTTAATCGATACAACTTTTTCAATTATTTCATCTAACTCTGATAGTATTTTCATTTAAGTATTTCCCTATTCGCATACGTTTTGTTTTAGAGGCGTTCAATTTTAGTTCATTTGCATTTAACCAATTTATGATTTTTACATCTTCAAAACGGTGTCTGTATTTTCATCTGATATGTATATTAAATGTATCGTCTGCAAATATCTGAATTTCACAACAAAGTATCACAAATGTCATTAATGTATAAAATAAATAGCAGTGGCCCCGGTTTACTACCTTGCGGCACACCAAAAGAAATATTTTTTGAGCTGGATAGTGTAGATCCAATTTTGGGTTTTTGACTTCTGTCGATCGAGTAGTTTTGTAGAATTTTGAATACAGATCCTTTAGGTCCATGCTAGAATGCAATTTTGTAAGTAATTTATTCCATGTCAATACTATCAAGAAAAGAAAATCGCCGGAAAATTATTGGTTAAATATCATTGAAATGAACCATTAAGCCATTAAAAAATGATATTCTCGAGATTACAAGCTTGGAATATCAGTCAGTTTGACCCTATTACCAAGTATTCAACACCCGTCTGACTTGGACTCCCTAAAAATGTTTTTGGGGTGCATACGAATGGTCTCTAATTGAGAAGAATTCCCCATATTTCACAGAAATCCTAATAAAAATTTTCCTGTCTCTGCTTTTAATTACTCCCGGCCCTTTTTTATGTGCAACTGCCCCTGAGGGGACACAGTATGACCATCAGCGTTACGCGTTGAACATTTGATAATTAACAAAGCTTGGGTAAGCACGAACAGTTATTTTATTTATTAGCAGTTGTCACACATATCAGACACGGTGCATATTTATATAATGTGCCGTTTGAAAATAATGGATAAGGCAGAGAAAATATAGTATTCATTATTTTTATGATGTTGATCTACAACCACGCCTAGACCCCGCTGATGAGTTGCGAAAAAGCATGAAACATCTGTCCACTGTTGGTCGACTGAAGTTTTGGGAATTTGTATATTTTCGCTGGTATATGGAAGGGGATCAAGAACAGGTAACGAATTCTGAACTTTCCAAGAACAAGCAATCTTTTTCTCGTCAAGATACGAACGATATTGACGGCCGAAATAGACTTCTGTCTATGATCCTTTGTTCATTGTAGCCCATCGCAGTATGAGGTCAATTTCGAGACCACCGAGAACCCGATTTCAACCAGTAAAATTAATTAACAGTGACAGTGACGCATAAATTGGACAATTCAAATCATCAAAAACGTTAGATCAATATTGAGCTCTCTTTAAGCTTATAAACATGAACAAGTTCAGATTAAAATTAAAACGTAATTTATTTGATATGCAGTGAACTTTTTGAGATAAAGTGTATCTTACAATTGGTTTATGTTAATGTGTAAGTGCTGAAGGTTATTTTTCTTTTTCTTCTCCACTTTCCTGTTCACAGTGTGAAATAGGCTTTCGCTAACGACCCTTTGTTCCAAGCACTTCACTTTCTCTGCTCACAGCATGTGGTCAATTCCGAAATGACCAAAGGGGGTAGTTTTTATCACCGCTGTCCGATGCATGAATATTTATTAGATCTGGGTCGGTTGGGTGGTTGATGAATTAGGAAAATTGAATGAATTACAGTACGTTAGGCTTTGCGCTGTGATGATAAATGGAATATCCGCGTGAGTTTTCACTAGGCAGTGACGTCCAATTTGAGAGTTTGTTAATGAGGGATAAAAGTGACGTCAAGTAGATTGACTCTGTAATGTTCGGCACAAGTTAGCTAGCATATTTACGCGATGGCCAGAAGAAAATAATTATAACTTTTAACAAATAAAATTTAGACATATCAGTGAATTTGTGATAATTCCCATCTACAGAAATACTTTGTAACGTTAAATTTACAAAAATTATAGGATTTTAAGAATCTTCAAGATTTTCCAAATTTTCAAAATTTTCAGATTTTTCGAAAATTTCGAAATTTTAAAAATACTCCTATAAAAATTTTCAGATCAGTCAGTTTGTGGTATTTCTGTTCCCCAGAAACTTCACCTGCAGAAAGTAGCACTTTGTACGCAAATATACCTCAATTTTCAAAATCCTCAACATTTTTAGATTTCCCAAATTTTTCAAAATTTCCAGGGTTTCCAAGGATTTTTAAATTCTGAAAATTTTCAGGTTTCCCGAAATGTCCAAATTTTCTACAATTCCAAGATTTTTCTAAATTTTCTAAAATCTCCAGATTTTACTGAGTTTTTAAAATTTTCCAAAATTTTCGGATTTTTCTAAATTTTCAAAATTTCCAGATCAGTCAATTTGTGGTATTTCTTTGTTCGCCAAAAACTCCCACCTACAGAAAGTAACACTTGTCTAAATTTTCGGGAGTTACTAATTTTCTAAAATTTTTAGAATTTTCAAAATATAAAAAATTTCATATTAGTCAATTCGTGGTATTTCTTTGTTCGCCAGAAACTTCCACCTGCAGAAAGTAGCACTTTGTACGCAAATATAGCTCAATTTTCAAAATTCTCAACATCTTTAATTTCCCAAATTTTTCAAAATTTCCAGGGTTTAGAAATATTTTTAAATTTTGTAAATTTTCAGGATTTCCGAAATATCCAAATGTTCTACAATTTAAAGATTTTTCTAAATTTTCTAAAATCTCCGGATTTTTCTGAGTTTTTAAAATTTCCTAAAATTTTCGGATTTTTCTAAATTTTCAAAATTTGCAGATCAGTCAATTTGTGGTATTTCTTTGTTTGCCAAAAACTCCCACCTACAGAAAGTAACACTTTGTAATGCAAATACACGTGTACTTTCAAAATTTTGTAATATAAGATTTTTTAAATTTTCGGATTTTTAAAAATTTTCATATCAGTAAATTTGTGGTAATTTGTTATTCGTCAGAAACTCCCACCTACAGAAAGTAACACTTTGTAACGCGAATATACTTCAATATTCAAAATTTTCAAAATTTGTTAATTTTTCAAAATTTTAAATATTTGCGAAAATTATATAATTTCCAAAATTTTCAGTTTTTCCAAAAATTTCAGATTTTGCAAAATGTTACAAATTTTCAAATCAGTCAATTTTTCAAAATATTTTCAAAATTTTCAAACTCCCAAAATTTTCAGAAGCGGCCCATCTTATCAACGCCTTATTCATTCGTATCATCTACGTCACTGTAAATGATGAAACCATACATCGTCAAGCCTAATGCCAAGCTTTCACGATATTAAAACTACTGCCATGTCGGACAGAAAAAAGTCGTGTGTGTCTGTAATATGCGTTAACCGGATTTATAAGCAACGTGTTGAGTTTAATCAAGCAGATAAACATAGAAGGGTGCAATTAGTATCCGAACTTTAATGAACTAATTTCGTTATCTACGTTGGAGTGGCCGGTGATTACGTTAGCGTTAACGTTAGGTTTGCTCCGACTCTGCTGTAGGCTCCTGCCTCGCCTTGTTGTCCGCTGTTCCAATTTCATAATCACAAACTGTATACATTAAAAGGGTAGAATAAATTCCTTATTGCTGTCCTGTGATGGTATAATGACTCTACCAGTCCGTACCTGTTGTAAACAAAATCCAATATAGGCAAAGCGGGATGAGGGATATGCCTACATAATTGTAGGCAACCCAAATCTACGTTCCTCGTGTGCCCCACTGCCTAAATGTACGCTTATGTGCGTGAGCGTGGAACTGCATAGACTACATAGACATTTTTATAGCTTTATCCTTAGTTCCAGCTTTGTTTGGGTAAAAAAACTCTTGAAATATCCTAGTTATTTCAAAAAAACCGTGGACAATGAGAACGTTTTCGATATATGGGTGAATAAGATCTTATTTCAGTAGACATACCACCAAATCGTTAGGTTCGGCAACACTGGCCAAGTCTGACAATGTTGCAGGCAGACTAACAACAATCCGTATCCTTCATATCTAAACCGAGGCACATATCTTGTCTTTAAACAACATAAACCTGCGACTGGGGTATCATATAGTTTTTTTAGGTAAAAAACTTTTGAAATATCCGAGTTATTTTAAAAAATCGTGGACAATGAGGACGTTTTCGATATTTTTGTAAATAAGACTTTATTTCGGTAGAAATACTGCCGAATCGGTAGGTTCGGCAACACTGGCCAAGTCTGACAAGTGGTTATATCGAGCCAGCGCCACCTTCAACTAGGTAGGTAGCAGGAGACTGATTATAGAAGAATATAAATGCCATAACAATTGTGAGCGAAGAATATCTATTTTTCTTATTTTGAATTTGTTTGAGCTGGTCAATTAAAACTTCTAGATTTTTAAAATGAGGGAAAGGTACTGACACATGATTTATTACTCTAACAGCATGTTCTAGATTCTCAATCCCTTTGTGAATATGACTATAGGCTAAATTTATATTTTCTAGTGTTTCTGTATTATCAAAATAAAAACTATACCTACTCAGTAAGTTTTCTAATTGAGACCATCTAGAGAGCTTCAAGTCAAATGGGAGCACCCATTTCAAATCATTACATGAGAGCGGATCCCCTTTATTAAATACCTTAGTTTCTAATGAACTGTCGTATTATAATTTGCGTATTCAAAACTAA